CGGCCGCGCTGTAGGCCGGGCCTCCGCCGCTGTGAAATAAGCAATAGATGGAAATTGAATTGAATTTTTTTTACTTTGCTGGGGAGCACACAAGGTGTGCGCTGCGCGTACGTGGATTGTCGAGGTGGAGGACGGGGATGTCGACTACTTGCGGGCTCGCTCAGCAAGACTTGGCGGTCCCGAGCCGCGTCTTCAGGGCGCATATGCGTCGGGCTTGGCGGGCTCGCCGCGCGTCCGTGTGTTCGCCGCTCCGGACGCGTGAGGTCTTTGCGAGTCGCGCCTTCGAAAACGAAGACCTGATTAGTGCTCCAGATGGACTGTGGTACTCACCTTGGGCGACGTCCTACGTCGCCTCGAGCAAGTACTCCCACCCTCACGCCCTCGCACGCCTGCGCCCGCACCGTACATCCGCTTTAACCACCAGTCCGCTGCGCCCGCGCCTCCAGACCTCGGGAGCGGCCCCTCCGTCCGTCGACATCGACATCAACAGCCGACATCACCTGTCACCTCAAAAGGCGCACGGCCCGCGTTCGCGACCGCATTCACGCGGGCACATGCATACAGCCACGCGTTCCCGACGTCCGTCTTCCATGTCACGCTGTCGTCGCGGGCACCGTCGCGAGGCTCCAGCTCCGCGGAATCTGTCGCTGTCGCAGCGCTCGGCGCTGATCGGGACTCGAGACTCGAGGTTGCGAGCTCTGCGAAAGCCAGACGGCGGGCTGTACGGCTGGTTCCTACTGCGTCTGGCTCCTTCTCGCGCGCGGGTATGGTACGTCGATATCGTTAACGCTCATGATGGTGCCGACAGCGGCAGGGCGTCCTCACCTGCACCCGCACCCGCGCGATTCGGCCTGCGCAGACCCGAGGTACAGCGCAGCGATTCGAATAATGTCCTCGCTGGCGGCTCTGGCGGCTAGTGCAAGGCGCCGCGAAGTATGGTACGGAAAGGATTCGGAACGACGGAGGGGCCGCAGCCACCGGTTGTTGCGATGTGTGCGCTCGGTGCCGGAGATGTGAGAGCTGCGGTACGAGGATGCTGCGGCCCGTAGGAACGTCTGTGCGGCTGATTGAGTGCGATTAGAGCTGAGATCCACGGAGGCGTCGCGGGCGGGCTGGAGCGAGCTATGCGTTGCTGTCGCGACAGCAGAGCACGGGCGGCGCGATAAATGCGAGCAGCGGTCAGAGCGGTCGGACAGGGCGAACATGCGGAAGACACGTGTGCGGGTGCATGCAGAGCGGGGCAGCAACGAGTGGGAAAGACGCGATCGCGAGGAGGATACGCGTCGTCGCCGATGGTGCGCAGCGCGAGCGGGTGCGGGGTGACAAACGTGCGGAGGCGGGGCAGGCTGCGGCAACGGGATTGTGAATCGAGATGACAGATCGCTGCGGGAGAGGGAATATATACAAATGGGGCGGCTGGGGCGGTCTGGAGGGGGCTGCGAGGGGCCCGCGGGAGAGCGAGACGCGGTGGGAGGACGTGATGTGATGCCAGTTGTGTCGATGCGGAGATGGCAGCGGCGGTGGCGACCATGGCGGGCGGATAGGACGGCGGCGGCGGGGTGGGTGGTAGCGATGCCAGCGTCGGTGCTTGCGATGCCAGCGTCGGGCCAGGAGGAGAGCACGACGCGACGGAAGGAAGCAGCGGAGATGACGAGCACGGGCGGGGAGACGGCGAGATGGCTGGTGCGAACGCTGCAGCGAGTCCGTCGCAACCGGAGGCAGATCCTCGGCCACCCGGACCGAGATGACGTCTCGCCGCCGTCTCTGGCTCGCTCGAAGGGTATTTCTTTGGGCGGAGATTCCAGATGATGTCCACAGAAGGGGAGATTCGTGCCCATATTGAGGCTCCGTCCGGAGGGACTCGATGCGGGCCCAGGAAATGCGCGGCAGTCGCCGAGTGTCGGCGCGGGGAATGTCCCAAATGGAGGGGGCAAAGGCCGAGTAGGGTGGGAAGGACGAGTCCGACGACAGCTGCCATCAGCGAGCACTCGGTCGAGCATCGCACGCAGCGCCCGAGGGCCGCATAAGGAGGCTCTGCGCAGAGAGAGAGAGAGCCCGCGAGTGCCCGTCTCCAGGAGGCTCTTTCTTCATCCATTGTTCTCTTTCGTTTCCAGCCTGGTGCTATCTGCGTCCGGACGCCTCTCTTTCCGCCCTTCGTTCACCACGCCGTCGCTGCGAGCAGCGCTCACTCTCCTTCCCAACGCCAGCACCCGCACACCGCACACCGCACGCCGCACGCCGACTGCGCGTACACCGATCCCCGCACGCACCGACACTCGCACACACACAACATATATACTCCCGCACATCGACACTCTCGCATCGCACTAGACCCCCGCTGACATGTCGCTCAAGGCCGAACTCGAGATGTGGGCGCAGGCCCTCGCCGCCTACGACGCCCAGGACTTTGACCGCTCCCTCTCGCTCTTCAGCCAGATCGCCGACTCGTCCAAGATCCTCTTCAACATCGGCATCATCTACGCCACCCTCGGCGAGCACGAGGCCGCCATCGACCAGTTCGACGCCGCCGTCCAGCTCGACCAGTACCTCGCCGTCGCGTACGTGTCTTGTCCCCTCTCTCTCATCTCATCTCCTCTCCTTCCCTGCTCCCCCTGCCCCTCCTGCTCCCAGCTCACCCTCCCGCACAGATACTTCCAGCTCGGCGTCTCGCACTTCCTCCTCAACGCCTTCCCCGCCGCGCGCGCCGCCTTTTCCGCCGCGCACACGCACCTCCGCGGGAACCCGCGCATCGAGTACGCGCAGCTCGGGCTCGGCTTCACGCTGCACGAGGCCGAGGTGCTCTTCAACGCCGGCCTCGCGTGCCTCCGCCAGGCAGAGCTCGACCCCAACTCGCGCTACGGCGGCAACACGGGCGGCGCAGCGATGGGCGTCGGCCTCGCGCAGGAGGGCCTCGACTGGCTCCGCAAGGCGTGGGACGCGGCCCAGGACGCGGAGAGGGGCAAGGGCCCCCGCGAGGAGCACCGCGTCATCGAAGAGGCCCTGCGCGATCGCGGCGTCGGCTATACCGTCTTCAGTGTTGTGAGTGTTCGCTGGCTGTCTTGTTTGCTCTCTCGCGACATGTGCTGAGCCCGCTGTGCGATGCAGCCCGTCGGCGTGCTGTACCGCCCCGCCGAGAGCAAGATCAAGAACGCAAAAGCCAAAGACTACCTCGGAAAAGCCGTGCGTCCGTGCCCACCACCAGCGGCTCGTGTGCTGACCTTCGCTCTGAGCAGAAACTCGTCGCAGCATCAGATGAGCTCGACGTGACGACCGAGTTCTCGGGCATCGCACGCCTGCGGCAGGGCATCACCCCCTCGGGCGTCTACATCGACGAGGCGACGGGCCTCCAGCGCGCGCGCACCCTCGGCGGACCCGCGCCCGACCGCGATCGTAAGTCTCCCCGTCCTTTTCCCTCCCCTCCCCTCCCATTCCCGTTCATGTTCGCACCCACCGAAGCCGCCGCACAACGCACATCTCACCTCATGTCCACCCCATCTCCATCTGATCCCGTCGCTACGCTACGCCGTGACACCTGCCTCCTTCCCTCCCCTTCCCATCCCTTGTCTCCGCTTCCGCTTCCGTCCCCCACCTGCCGCAACTGACCCACGCTCGCTCGCACAGGCTCCTTGGACCCCGAACCCGCACTGCAGCGCGCCAAGACAACCATCAACACCGTCACACTCGGCGGCGCCGGCTCGCGCTCCGGCCCTGCGTCGCCCGTGCGCGACCCCATCGACGTGCCCCGTGCAGGCCCCGTGGGGCTCGCGCGCAGTAATACGATGGCGCCCCGCGCGCCGATGGACTCTGGCATGGGCATGGGCGCGGGTATGGGGCATGGGCGCGGGTATGGGCATGGGCATGGGCATGGGCGCGACGCGCGGGCTGTCCATCCGGCGCTCGGACCCGCGCGACCGCGAGCTGCCCCCGCAGCCGCAGCCGCAGCCGCCCGTGCGCGAGTCGTCCGCCTACAGCCCGGACACGGAGCGCGACCGCCGCGGGCGCGTGACCGAGTTCTACGACGACTACATCGATGCGTATAGTGAGCGCAGCGCCGCGCCGAGCATGGCACGGTCGAAGAGCATGGGCGGGGAGGCAGCATGAGGAGGAGGGGCACGAAGAGGAGGGTGCCGGAGAGGAGGTGGGAGGAGGAGGAGGAGGGGTATGAGAGCGCCGAGTGGGAGGAGGAGGCGAAGATTCGCGTCAAGGTGCGTTGAGCTCGATCATGGGTGTGGATACTGGAGGGACTGGCTGCGAGGTTGGGCTGGACCGGGGCGCGGCTGCACTTCCGCTCGCCCCTCCTGCAACCCGCGCTAATGCCGCTCCTGCTCCTGTTACCGATCCTGCCGCCGTCCCCGTTACTGACCTGCCGCTGCAGATCCACCACGCGACCGAGACACGCGGGATGGCGCTCGCACGGGGGACCGCCCTCGGCGCATTCCGCACGGCGCTTGGCGCCAAGTTCGGCCTGCCCCCGAACGCACTCGCGCTCCTGTTCGCGGATGAAGACAACGAGCGCGTGAGCCTGCGCGACGCGACGGACTGGGATATGGCCCTCGAGACCGCCGCACGCACAGGAAGGCTCGAGGTGTGGTGTGATGAGGAGTAAGGCGTGAAGTGGGGAGGTGCGGATGGATCCCCGTGCAGGATGGGTGGCGGCTGCTAGATTGAAGGAAGGTCGGAAGGAGAGTTTTTTGCTTGCTCGCTCGCATTTATTTTGTTCGGTTTTTTGGTATCTCTCGTTTGTGCTACTCTGCTCTGGATGGGCATGTGCTACTAGTTTTACTCCTCGGGCTCGATATACATCGCTATTCCACGCGTGCTCTCACCTGTGTGCGAAGGATCTCTCGCAGTCGTTGGTTCACGCGATACTTATGTACGTGCGGACGGAGTGGCTGAATAAAGCGAACACAGAGTTGCTTGTGGATCAAATACGAAGGTACATGTCGCCTTTACGGCGTAATCGAGGTGAGTGACAAAAAACACATCACACTCTCCAGTAAAGGCGTTACCAGGGTTCGAACCTGGGTTCCGGGAAATTCAACAAGGAGAATGGACCTGACGATCAAAATCCCGAGTGATAACCACTACACTATAACGCCGTGCTACATTGTATGTTGTAGCTTTTTGATAGCTGACCCTTTCGCCCCTGGCTTACTATGTCGCAAGCCAGGCCGGCAGGCAAGAAGCACACATCCCAAGTGATAGCCACCACACTATGACACCGCAGCGCAGTAAAGAGACCGCATTACTTGATGTTCGCTCTCGAGTTCCGATAACGGGTATGTATGTTGCGACGAGATATGATTGCGGAGTTCAGTACGGCGTTATTCAATATGCGGACGCGCGATGAGTACTAGAGGTAGCGTTGCTATGTAGCAACGTGCAGCATATTGGAGATGCAAAAGACTATGTCACTTAGCATCCTCTACTTCGATACTCGAGTACAGGTTGCTAGCAAGCCTGTATTCAACAAATAATCCACAGGGCGCAAAGAAATCAAACATGCCGAACTACGTACAACAGAATTCCAACTCGTCGAGTTCAAGTCAAAGAACCCGCCATGCGTGCCGCGGAGCCATTCGCGTCTTCCTCAACGGCCACAGCTTCCTCGCACGCGGATCGCAGCAGAGTCTTAACCTCTTCCTCAGTCGCCAACCGCCCCGCCTGTTCCGGCTGCGCTTCACGTGCCAGTACACGGAATTCTAGGTATTCGTCCAGAACGCGCTCCTGCGCATGACCGAGGAGCACCCCGACCGTCCGTGCATCCTCAAGGTAAAGCCGCATCCTCACGACGTGCTCGCGCAGCGTATGCTCACAAGCGCCACGGAACTGCTCGAACAACGGCGAGATGTCCGCTTGCTGCGATACGAGGGCGGCGCTCGAGGCGTTCGGGGACTGCTTGGAGAGGGCACGGGAGATGCGCGTGCTCTCTGACCACGCATGGAGAGGGGCAACGAGGGGCTCGACGCATGATGATATGGCGTCCTCACATGCGCGCTTCAGCTCTTGGTCAATGCTCTGGCCCTGTTGTCAGAATCGTACGCATGAGGCCAGGGGCATACTGACCTGTCTGACGTCGGACATGTTCTCGTCACGGGGCATCCCTAGCGTCGCAAAAAGCGCACTGGGGATCAACGACGTTGTCTTGTTGAGCATCGATGTCAACGTATCTTCGAACGCATCAGCAGCATACCGCAATACCGAATGAACAGCCTCACCTGAGACACCTGACAAGCCGGGACCTCGATCTGCAGTCTTGCGCTCGAGATCCAAGCTCTGTGTGAGTTCCTTCAGAATGACAAGATGCCGGACAAGGAACAGCTGGCCATCCGTGGTCGAGGAGGGTTTGGTAGACTTTAATGTCTCTGCGGCATTCACCAACGATTGCAAGCACAACGCCACAGCCTCTTGAGCAATGTCGTCGAAGATTGCAGGCTAACATGGACGTCAGTTAGAACAGCCGTCATGATGGTCACATATACCTACCTTCACGTAGTCATGAAGTTGTGAGAGCACCCAGACTGTCTTTCTCAGCGTGGGGTACCAGGTCTCCTGTTTATCCAAGGACTTCAGCTGGAATAGCTGCCGCCCATTGTCCTTCTCCTTGATTTCGAAACCCGAAGTAGGCTTTCGCGCAACTATCAAGAGGTTACAAAAAGTGCAACCGTCCCGTGACTACACACCAACCTATGAGGATCTCGGGGTACGCAAGGTCCTCCGGTTTCGGAACATAATACCGTATATCTGACTGGATCACTGCCTGCGCTTTGAAAAACAGCCGTGTTTGTGCGTCCTGGAGCACCATCTGGAGTAGATGGCTGATATGCAGCGTCCGGAGGCCCCGCTTTGGCTGGCGGTGATCACCGGCATCGAGGTCGAGATTCAGTTCGTCAGGAGACGTGTCGCTCTCGTCGTCAGACAAATCAACGGTCGCGGGGATGTCAAGGACCATCAGCGCCTGCAGCACGGTGCAGACCTCACACAGTGCAGCGATGCGCTGCTCGTGGAGTATTCGTGGACGGAGGTCATCATATAGGTAGTCGCACAAGTTCTCGAGGTACTGGCTAAGGACGAGATTCGAAAGGCGGTGAGTGTGGGAGGATGACTGTTTACTCACTAGAGCTGGTCCTCGCCAGAGTTGAAGAACGAACGGTACAGGTCAAATTCGTCTGTACAGAGCTGCTTAAGATAGCTACAACCTGCTCGTGTCTAGAGGCACATAGCGTCAATCACAGAATGCACAGAGGCGGAAATGGCACGCACCAACTCGACGAGTTCAGTTCTTGTAGGGTCGAGCCCTTTGATTTCCTCGACTACCCGGTTCACGAGCAGGCCTTTCCGTGCCGAGAAGTACGCAGAGTGGCATTCAGCCAGCAGCGCGGAGAGCTCCTCAGGATGCGCGATCGCGCGGCGCTCCAACTCTGCCAGAAGGGGCGCGAGCTGCGCGGAGACGGAACGGAATCGCGTGTAGAGGAGATGCATCTGTGCCGTTACCGAGACATCCTGAAGGGAATTTGTGTGAGTATGTGCGCACGCTCGAAGCTGGACACCTGCATACTTACTTTCTCAGAAAGCCTCCGGGATACATCAGCCGTCAGAGCGCGTAGGGAGCCGACGAAGTACATCTTGATCAGCGTCATCGCGCGCGTCATGCATTGCTGGAAACGCAGCAAATATATCTCTGCTTCGCGGAAGTGTCGCTGAAAGAATTATCAGACAGATGCACGGGGAAGGCTGATGGTCCACGCGTACGTGCGACTTGAGATAGTCAATGCAAATGTCGACTCGCTCGACCATGTATAAGAAGTCTGTTTGAAGAACGAGGGAATCTCCTGGGTGGTTGAGCATACGTGTCGCATGCTCCAGTTCCTGGAAGTACTCCAAACGGGTGTCAATTGCCTCGGTGAGTGCAATTAGTTTGTCCTATAGGCTGCTATCAGCTATGCCAGCAAGGCGGTGCCTCTCGTAAGGGAGTCATACTCACCCGCTCATCCAATAACTGCTCACAAGCATCTTTAAGGTTCTTCCCGCTCTCTTCTACACTCTTCCACCCTTGTAGCATGTCCTCCACCTCCGCGTCCACCTGATCTATCCGCTGTATGATCCGGTCACACGCGTCAAGGTGCTCTGATACGCTCGCGAGGTGTGCACGGAAGTGAGCCTCTTGGCTATGCGCGACGGAGCGGTCGATGAGCGCGAACCAATCGTAGAATTGCTGCGGGGTCTGGATCGGTTGTGCAGGGTACAGCGCGTGCATCGTATGGGAACGGGCTGCGGGGACTGGGGTAGATGAGCGCGAGGTATGCTGGAGTCTGTTACGCAGAGCGGGTGTGGACGGACGTGTGGACGGGGCCGACTCGTCCCTGTCGAACTTTGTGCGCCTTGGTCGATAAGCAGTCGACTACAGAGACTACACATGTGGCGTACCTTGAGCGGAAGAGGCCGCCGCTCGCTGGCTATCTTGAGCACGTTGACACTTCTGATTTCAAGGTCATCAAGAGGGGCCTTTGCTTCCCATTCCTCGACGTTGATAACGCGCTTCGGGTGAGGAGACGGCACAGGTGCGGGTGCCCTCTTGGCTGTGTTGGCCATAGCAAACCAAGACGCTGACCAAGTTCATTCAACAAAGAAAGACCCAGAACTAGTCCTCGCGACCAGACCGGATGCGCGCAAATAAGACAGAATATATGCAGGTTCCGCAGAGCTTCAGGGAACGGATGAGCTGGTGAAGCGCAGAACGGGTCTAGGCGTCTGAACTCGGCAGTCTTGACGCGGTCCGCGGAGCGGCAGACGTTACTCCTCGACTTTCTCATCCGGACTAGTACTCAGGCTACTGGAACATCTCTTTTGCTCGGTCTACGGGAAGCTCAATGTGTTGCTCTACTATTTGCTCGCGCTGCGGCCACAACGATCGTAGACCAGCGATACAGCGGCATCTGATTATGGTACAAGAGGTGGCATACTATCATGACCAGACGTCGTGATATGTACAAGATAGTCAAGACATTATGGCCGTGGACAAACCCCACGTCTAAGCTCACTAAAGAGAGTATCCAAACTTCCGTGTACTCTTAGTACATATTCCGCCGAACTCGTGCCGTGCCCGAATGTGTGTTTACTCGACATCATCCCTTCTCATCCCTCCCGGTCATTATTGTGATGCTGTCTCCTAATCGACATCCAATATCTCCGGCCCTCTTGATGACGATCTCGCGACCCCTTTTCCTTTCGAGTTTGACTGGTTTCTGGATCTTGTATCAGACGCGTTTTGATGGAAACTTGGATTGCGGCTCAGCATGCCATCGCACCGGGCTTCGAGATAATGGAGCCATGGGTCGTTGTCCGGAACGTTGTCGGCAACTACGAGACCTCCCACACACCATGCTGAACTGAGTTGCTCGGCAAGCTCCAGTGAGTTTGTGGAGGGATCAGGGAGACCATATAGCCGGTGCGTCTCGAATATGCTAGCAAATGCCGAGTTCGAATGATCTCCTGCCCAGTATGCATCCCGTTCGTCTCCAAGCGCTTTGAACATGCCCGCTACGCCTTCAAGCTTAGGACCGTTTGTCCCATAGCGAGCCTTGACGTCGTCTAACCACTGCGATAATTCCATAGGTTCGACGTGGTCCGGATCGTAAATGTATACGGGCACTCCTCGTGTGGAACTTGCTCGAATGGTACGCATTTAATCGCGCACATGTTCTCGACGGCATCTCGAGTCTCGAATCTTGCAAGTACGACATGTAGACTTTTCAAGCACGGAAAACCGGAGGCGAGGATGCGATCGATGTCGGTCACTTGTGAGCGGACCGTCTTGAAGTACGTGTTAGCCAGCAGCCGTCGAGAGCGGGTGCCGATGTCTACACGCATATGTAAGATGTTGTTCTTCGGCGGAAACTTTGACAAGAAGTCGGGGGAGCGCGGAAGGGGGCACCACAGGTAGTCCATCCAGTAGCGCAGGATCCGCAGCCAGATCGAGGCGTCTGAGAGCTGGGGCGGTGAGTAGAACTGCGAGATTCTGGTACTCCTGAGCTTGCATAACCTATGCGCCGGAAACGTCTCAGATGATGAAGCATACGAAGTAGACGGGCCGGAACGC